GCTGTCCGTGGCGCCGCTGGGCCTGCGACTAGATGGCATCCTTCGGACACTATAGGCCGTTTCTGCACACGTGATGCGGGGCTCAGTCACGTTTCCCCCTGGAGGCTTGAGGATGCGCCAGGTTTGACTCTGCAGGGCTTGCGCGCTTTGGGGGTGGAAGGAAGAGGAACGAAGCGGCCAGGCGAGCCCCAGGGTGGAGAATCGCCGGGGCGCGCAGGCTGTGGCGGCTTCGCACAGCCGCCCTGGGCGCTGCACGGATCCGCGCGCACGCTCCTGCTCACCCACTCGCGGCCAGCTCCCTACAGAGGAGTGGAGTGACTCCTCGACTCCCATCCCTCTTTTAGTGTGAGCGTCTGGAGTCCTGACTGTCCCAGCCAGCCCAGCCACGATGAGCTGTCTAAGAGGATGTGGTAAGACCCAGAAGTGTGGGTGACCTTATGTCAAAGGAAGTGGTTTTCTTATTGCAGCAAAAATTCCCGAACCAACGTCAGTGCTAGGGTAATGTAACTAAACTTTTATTTATTTTTATTCTGCCCTCCCCTTTCTGTTTGTTATGAACCATAAAATATTCAACACAATTATCTTGAAATCTAAATATAAAATTTAAAACATACTCATTGAGACCTACTGTGTGCAGGTCAACTCTGTCGCCCAGGGAGGTGGGCGGCTTAGATTCATTTATTTGCTATGAGCCAAGTACAAGGTAGATAAAATGCCTGTCCTCTTGGAGCTTTCCTTCTTGTGAAGGGAAACCGGTGACAGACAATAAGCACACCGAAATGACCAAAATATGTTAGAAAGCAATCAGTCCTATTCCGAGAACTAAAATAGGGTTATGTGCTTAGAGGGTGACTGGGGGGCTGCTTTGTTTTGGGTGGTCTGGTCTGGGAAAGCCACCAGGATAATGCAGGTAAACTAGTCAGCTCACGGTAGGTGCTCTGGAAATGGTAGCTATTGTTTGGATGATGATACTGGTTCGTGCAATGACTCTTGCTTTGCCTACTGTGTGCCGGACACTGTGCCAGGCTGTACAATGGAGAGACACAGTTCCTGCTCTTACAAGGAAGGCGTATTTATATGCAATTATAATAAAATATAGGGTAAATTCTGATGGGGGAAGGTGTAAGTGATTGGAGTTCAGAGATGAGAAAAATCCTCTGGATGGGGCTGGCAGGCTTACTAAGGCAGAGACATGGCAGTGTTGGGAGTAGTGACTCACATACTGTGATTTGCGTTTTGATCACAGCGATGTGTTTGTGTGTGCACGGTAATCATATTTACCCAGTTCTTCACTGACCCAGGAATTGCAGTAAGATTACTGGTAAAAATTTCCAGCCACTCCAGAAAACCATTTAAAACTAATGTAATTTAATCTCTTATTTGGCTCCGAGCTTTAACAGCTCCTTGTTTTAACTCCCTTTGTAGGGGAGAAAGAGAATAATTGGGAAAGAAGAGTAGTTTGGCCTAAGGCACTATTAACAATGTGTTGTGGACATAAGCTAGAAAACACAATACTCTATAAATATGGAGAACGAATACAGAAACAGATTATTGATGTCTGTCAAAGGCATAATTATATAATTGTCTGTTGTAAATTAAGCAAAGATAATAAAATACTCATTAAAACTTAACAGCGCCAGAAGCTGTACACTGGCAATGCTCCTTCACTCTGTGAACTTGTTTGCTTTAGACTTTGGAGCATTTTAAATTCTTTTGAATTAACTGTCAGCACTTTGAAAACATGATTTTTCATAAAAATATCTGGATTTTTGTCTCCTGAAAGGTCAGAAGATCTAGCAACACAGTAACACTAGGCCCATGTTCCACTTGGCAAACCGTGGCTGCTGAGTAGCCCTCTTAGAGAGCATATGTTCTCTGTTACTCGGAAGGTCCTCTGCCAATTACTGACATTAGAGTGGAATTGGGAGGAAAAACAAATAGTTCTTGCATCCCTATCTGTCAAAACTGTGCAAATGAAAGCTTAACTAAGGGCTGTATGTTTCAAGAAAAAAACAAGCATGTTTCTTTGTGAAAGTAGAGAATGTTCCGTGAACTTAATGTGCAAACAAAGTCAGAAGAACACTGTTCTGCCTGGCCTTCGTAGGTAATTGAGTTTAGCATCTGACTTATATGGAAGGTAGGTGCTCTGTGGACGGGGCCCCATTCCAGAGGGGAAATTTTAAAGCTATTTTCCTGAGGGTCAGTGAGAAGTATAATGGGAAAGGAAGAAGGGAGGAAGGATAGGGGAGATATTCCAGGGAAAGACCGGAGTGTGGAAAAGCAGAACTTGACTAAGAAAGGATTTACTTTCCTTAGAGAGAGGGTGGAGGCTGTCATATCAGAAAAAATGTTTTCAGACAGCTGTAAGGGTTAGAGAGAACCTTGAAGTCCTTACAGTGATCTGAGGGACAGGAAAGAAGGGATTTCAGG